CAGCTGAACAGGTATTTGCCTTGAAGTTATGGAGCTGTGCGTTTTTATTGAAATTGTAAATGGCGTACTGAATCAAATCATTCATTTTTCCCGGTGTATGAATCAACTGATATGCTGTAGCTTCGTCATTTCCGTGAAAATGACGTGTCTTTGATCTTTGCTCGATCTCTCGTTTTAACTGTTGCTTTGATCCCATCTCCTATGTGTTTCTAAAACACCAGCAGCGTTCGGAAAAAATATATTTCCACTCCTCATAACTGTTAAACAGTAATTGGCCAGCGCAACAATACCGGTGCGAAGATGTTTTTTTGGCGCAGTTCCCCTGCAGGCTTTGTTGCTAATGGCACTTTTTTCCGGCACATGCTTTTAGCTAAAGGAACTGGGATTGGCCGCTACGACTGTTAAAAATTATTCCAATGACTCCCAATCGACGCACAAAAAAAAAATGCACTCTGAATGCTTCGCGCACGGAGTTATATCAATGTTCACATGTTTATGCGTCAATGTTAATTGTGGACCGCAAGCAACGCTGCAAAATTGCTGCTTCCTGCAAATTCTTTGTCAGCTTAATTCTTCAGTTGGCACAACGCCAATTTAAGGAGGCTTTTACGTACTTGAGATCTAGGAATGCGTAAAGGTTGAATTTAAAATCTTTGGGTTGAACGTGGGCAAAAAATATCTTCGTGAAGTTTCAACTTTCTAGCTTGCGTTGTTCCGAAGTCGTTTGCCCTTCAAAAAATCTTTTAAGTGCCCTACGTGAGAACCACGTGCACGTGAGCGCTCATTTTGAGGATAGGGACCCCTGCATAGATGAAGAGTAAGTTGCCAAAATTCCAGTCTTGTAGCTTCTGTAGGTCGCGAGATGAAAACCTGATACAGACGTATAGTTAGATACACATGCAGGAACACAGATAACCTCTCGACATTGTGTTTTTGCACTCTATAGATGTAAAAAAACGCATAAAAACGGTATTGATCTCAGAGTCTTGGAAAGTTGATGCAGTGAAGAAGCCCGTAATGCTAGTTTACTAGTGGCGCATACATCGGTGTGAAACTATCATTGATTGAATTTTTTTCAAGTTCAAGGCAGAAAATATATTCATTCCGTTGCAAAAACTAGATTCTACATTATTCACCCCATGCAAACTTCTGATCTCAAGGATCTGTAGTTAAACGGCAGGGAAACCAACAGTTTTGAAGAGCTTTCTTCGGGTGATTCATACTTTCTAAACCTGCTTAGTGGATCGATGAGCATCGTCCAACAAATGACTTGGCCCGTTTAGTATTTTCCTCTTCACTGTTTTTGAAGCACTGTTTCCTGTAAGCTTTCATACTTGATTTCTTGTTCTTTCGCACTATTGATTACTACCCACGAGCTACTTCCGAGTGCCTCCGTCTTTCATAGAGAGCGAATATGAAGGGAGTTTTGTCTTTGACTTTTGTATCATTCGCATCTTTCCCGGTTCTCTTACGTGATGTTCTCATATAGCTGATGTTGTACACGGATTTTTTTGCTTGCATAAACTTTGATCTTCGACTTGCACTTCAGGTTGCTGCTAAATATTTCAGTATTTTATGAGGTTTGAAAGCGGATTTTCTGTCTCTTGTACTGAGTAGAATCTCTTCAGTGAATTATGGAAAACATACGTTTTTTGCTTTACATAAAGATACCAAAGATCCATAAAAATTGTTCCTGTGGGATTTATTAGTTTATATTACAGAAGTAAAAGTGTTTGGACTGCTGTCACTCGGTCTGTTGCCCTCTACTAGCGGAAGCCTCGAAAACCGGAAGGGCATGTTATTGCTATAAGTGCACAAGGGGCACCGGAAATCATCAATGCAGTGCCAGTGCTGCCGCTGAGCTGGTAGGCCCTTCGGAAAACGAAGTGAGTGTTCAAGGCAGGCACCAGTAGACCGGGGCGATGCAGCATCGCTTGGAGTAACTTGCTAGAATATTGAAAGTGTATTACCCCGGGAAGACGTTCTTTTTCAATTGTGTTTTTATTTCTCGTGTGAGGTTGTTTGAACGCTCCTGTGTATTTTTGCCCAGAAATCTCGTTTTGAAGTGGGACCGCCAGTAGGAAGATAGGTGCTAAATTGAAGATCACTGTAGTCAACTTGTCTCGGCCAGTTTTGCCTGAGTGACCTTGCGTGTGTAGTAGTTTGTCTACGAGGGAACTCCTGTTCCTCCCGAGAGTGCCCCTCCATTTCATTGAGGAGATCTGTTCTTTTAGGGTGAACGGCGCTGCCCAGTAGTAGTGATCGTTATGTTTTATGCCGAATCATCTACCGGAAACTTTTTATTTGCACAGTTCTTGATACAGACAGAGACATTAATCAGTTCAGCGAACGCTATGTCGGCGCGACTGCTTATCAGCTTTTTGGCTATTGCTTTTTTGAGACGAAGAAACTTATTCGTGGAATAGCATACAAATTTGCTGTACGAAAAGAACGCATATTTTGTTGACAAACTGATAAGACGGCATCTATTAATAATTACTACCAAATGGACCATGCTACATCGGGATTACGTATTCAGTTGTTTCCTGTTTGATCTTGAAGATGCAAAATCCGGGGTCTCATATTCACTGTTTGCGGGGCAACATAAATAGTTACAGGCGAAGTGAATGACGATTAAGCTGGGATGCTACGCAGGGCAATACGTTATCTTTTATGTTCGTACAAACCACATCTTCATAGCAACGCAAAAGTTTTAAACAAATCAAAATTAGCAGCTGGAAGGAGCATTTAGTAATAGCAAATTTTGCATATCAGTGGAAGAAAAAGAGCCAACAAACGTGAGAGTGGCAATATTACTCGATTCCGTGTTCAGAAAGGATTAAATCACTGGATGATTTGAGAAACGGCCAGCAAGATCATTCGATGAATACCATACTTATTTGAAATCCAAATCTTTTGGACACAACTTGTAGCCAAAGTGATAAAGCGAAGCACCGGGCTGACGGAGGAGAGCAGTGGGGTAGTCGAGATATTATTTTGTGATATATACGAAAATACAAAATTGTATTAAACCCAAAATTGTATTAAATTATTAACCAGGCTTGTCGGCGCAATCACGCGTTTTTGCACTAAACTTGCAAATAACTAACAGCAACAATGGTTCCTGCGCTGTAGTTTATCACTTGGACCCACTGACTGTGTTTGGCCAGTTCCCCCACGTAAGGGGAAGAGTTGGGGTGAAGATATTGCATCATGGGGCCGCGTGGACCTCCAGCGTGCATGATTATCAGTTTTTTTTGCTTTTTTGCATATATGCAAATGCATAAACGCATACTTTGACAACCCATGGTGTGTGCGCATGTGTATTTTCGTGTGTGCGCCTGTGTGTATGTGTGTGTATGTGGATGTATGTGCGCGCGTGTGTGTTTAGGTGGGGGAGGGGGGGAGTATTTCAACTCAGCAACCGAGCAATTCCCGGTGTCAAAATTTTGCCAGTGGGTTCCTCGCCGAAGTGGTGCCCAGGGCCATAGTACCGCCCTTTGCACTCGTCTGTGTACGAGCGCCTGAAAGTTTTGGCGGGAAAATCGCTAACTCGGTAACC